GTGGTGGTGGTGGTGGTGGTGGTGGTGGTGGTGGTGGGGGTTGTGTAGTTACTTATAGGACTGCTTATGTTGCTGTTTATGTTTGTTACGTTTAATGATTGAAGATTTATTGTTTCCTCTTCTTGTTGCTGTTGCTGTTGCTGTTGCTGCTGCTGCTGCTGCTGCTGCTGCTGCTGTTCTTCTTCTTCTGTTTTATCAAGACCTCCCCATAATCCATGATGATCAGTAGTACTACTGTTGCTACTACTACTACCATTACTACTACTGCTGCTGCTGTTGCTGCTGCTGCTGCTGTTGTTTGCTGCAGCAGCAGCAGCAGCAGCAGCAGCAGGTGGCCCTGCCTCAAAGAAATGACGCCTTAATGCCTGCAGCAGCAACATCTGTGCTGCACGGATGGTACAACCCCACCCTACATCACTAGTTATAGCTATCCAGCTCCTCTCTAATACCATAGGAGGACTGCTGCTGCTGTTGCTGTTGCTGTTGCTGCTGCTGTTAGTAGTATTAGTTGCTGCTGCTGTAGTACTTGTACTGCTGCTGCTGCTGCTGCTCGTGTTATTACTCGTAGTAATAGTTCTTCCTTGTGCTGCAATAGGAGTACCGCTATTATTACTGCTGCTGTTGCTGCTATTACTATTATTGCAGCATGGATCTGCTGCTGCTGCTGCTGCTGCTTCCTCAGGAGAAGCAGCAGGCCTCCTCCTCTCGCTGCAGCAACGATAGAGAGGAGAGAATCCACTCCTATAAGTAAATCTTGCTATACAAGAAACAAATTTCTGCAACTCTTGCTGCACTCGCTCGGGCTCAGCGGACGCACAGACTACAGATAAGGGGTGCAGCACCTGCTGCTGCTGCTGCTGCTGCTGTTGCTGCTGCTGCTGTTGGAGGTGCTGCTGTTGATGCTGGATATGGTGGTGGGGGGAAGGGTGGGAAGGAAGACGTCGACTGCCGGTAGGGAATGGGAGATGCATACCCAGGCTGCTGCTGCTGCTGTTGCTGCTGCTGCTGCTTGGTATCGCTGTTCGACTCCTGCTGCGCCAAATACTGCTGCTGCTGCTGTTGCTGCTGCTGTTGTTTGTGCTAAGACGATGACCACCTATTCCTGCTGCTGCTGCTGCTGCACGCCATTCAGCCTCTATGCCCTCAGACTGCAGACAACGAAAGGGACTTGTTGCTCCTGCTGCTGTTGCTGCTGCTGCTGCTGCAGTAGGTGATATAGAGGAATCGGAGTAAGGAGTTGGTGTTGCTGATGCTGATGCTGCTGCTGCTGCTGCTGCAGCAGCAGCACTATCAGCAGTTCTACCATCAAGAGTATCTCTTCTTGTTTTTTGGTGTTGCTGCATTTGCTGCTGCAGTTGCTGCTGCAGTTGCTGCTGCAGCAGCAACTGTGCATGATGCTGCCTATGTCTTCTTACTATTTGCTGCTGCTGCTCATCTAATGCCCAGAAGACTTTTCCTAATACAACAGCAGTCTCTCCCTGCTGCAGCAGACCTCCTTCTTGTGGTCCTATCCATGATCTTGCTGCTGCTGCTGCTGCTGCTGCTGTTGCCCAGTTATATATATTATGACGCCAGCTGCTTAGTACTGCGCCTACGTCGTGCTGCAGCTGACGAAAGGAACGGACACGAGGAAAGGATAATGCGCTGCTGCTGCTGCTGCTGCTGCTGCTGCTGATGGTGCTTGCACGTATAGATGGTACCCGGCTGCTGCTGCTGCTGCTGCTGCTTATGCTGTTGCTTACGCTGCTGCTAAGGCTGCTGCTGCTGCTGCTCGTTGTGCTTCGGTCAACATCCGTCCCAAACAATGGGAGACCCTCGGAGGGAGACGCTGCTGCTGCTGCTGCTGCTGCTGCTGTGCTGCTGCTGCTGCTACTACTAGGCTCCTGCTGCTGCTGCTGCTGCGGCTGCCCCCGTACAAGACCCAATGCAGAAAAGAAGCGACGACCCTGGCTGCTGCCCGGTGAAAAACGACGACCAGCCGTTGTTGCTGCTGCTGCAGCAGCAGCAGCTGCTGCTGCTGCTGTCGCTGCTGTTGCTTCTGCCGCTGGTGCTGCTGCTGGTGCTGCTATTGCTACTGGTGCTGCTGCTGGTATTCCTGTTACCGCTGCTGCTGCTTCTGCTGTTGCTGGTGCTGCTGCTGCAAACAGGCAAGTAGCAGCAGATCCCCCCTCCTTGCTATAAACCCCTCCAACACTTCCTCCCTGCTGTTTGCTGTCAGCAGCAGCAGCAACAGCAGCAACAGCAGCAGCAAGAGTGCCTGCAGCAGCTGCTGCTGGATCTCCTGCAGCTCCTGCAATTGCTGCTTCTGCTGCTGGGTGACCTACGCTGCTGTAAGGGTCACTTTGCTGCTGCTTTTGCTGCTCGTCGTCTTGCCGCTGCTGCTGCAGTTGCTGCTGCTGCAGCTGCTGCAGCAGCTGCTGCTGCTGCTCTACTGCAGCAGCAGCACGATCAGCTGCCTGGAGTGTATCAACGGCTCCTGCTGCTGCACAAGCAGCAGCACAATCATGAGCTGACGCAGCAGCGTCATCCTGCTGCAGTGTCTCCGAGGACAGCGCCTCCCGCTGCTGCTGCTGCTGCTGTTCTGGCTGCTCCTCCTCCTGCTGTTGTTGCTGTTTATGTTGCTGCTCTCGGTCCTGCTGCGGCTTCTCTGGCTGCTGCTGCTGTGGCAGCTGGCTTTGCTGCTGCTCTTCTGCCTGCTGCAGCTGCTGCTGCTCGTTCTGTTGCCTCTCTGATGGTTGCTGCTGCCTTTCTTGCTGCTGCTGTTCCTCGAGATGCTTCTGCTGCTGCTGTTGCTGCTGTTGCTGCTGTTGCTGTTGCTGCCGCTGCTGCTCAGATCCACCAACCAGCGCTCCGGGGTTGGGTTGCGCAGCAAGCGGTGACATATCGGCGCTTTCCTGCTGCTGCTGCTGCTGCTGCAGCTGCTGTGGCAGCTGCAGCAACTGCTGCTGCAGTTGTCCTGGCTCCTTGCCCCGCTGCTGCTCACTCTGATGCTGTTGCTTCTGCTCTCCCTGCTGCTGCTGCAGCTCTCCCTCCTGCTGTTGCTGCTGTTCTCCCTCTCCCTGCTGCTTCTGCAGCTCTCCCTGCTGCTGCTGCTGCTCGCCCTGCTGCTGCTGCTGCTGCTGCTGCAGGAAGAAGCTCATTGCGGGGTCGAGGGCTGCAAAGCAACTTCTTATAAAGCCAATAATTCAAAAGCTGCTGCTACTGCTGCTGCTGCTGCTGCTATTGCAGCAGCAGCAGCTGCTGCTGCTGCCGCTATCGATGCTCCTTAGTCCACTACTGACGTGGCTCTCCTTGTTGCCAACGATGGTGCTGCTGCTCCTGCTGCTGCTGCTGCAGCAGCAGCAGCAACGCAACAACGGTACCTGCTGCTGAGCCGCTGCCGTTGCTGCTGCTTAGGCGCAGCGGCAATAGACAGAGCTAGTCAACACACCTGTATGGTTGCTGCTGCTGCTGCTGCTTCTGGTACTGCTGCTGCTGCTGCTGGTACTGCTGCTGCTGCTGCAGGAGTTTCTGAGAAAGATCGTCAAGAAGCACAGTGCACATGGCCACCTGCTGCTGCTGCTGCTGCTGCTGGATGGTGCTGCTGCTGTTGCTGCTTCCGCCTGCCTGTGCAGCTCCTGCTGCCGTTCGTGTTACTTCTGCATAGGCTGCCTTTGCTGCTTCTGCTGCTGCTGATGCTGCTGCTCTTGGCGTTGCTGCTGCTGCAGTTGGTGCTGCTGCTGCTGCTGTTGCTCGGGATGCGGTGGGGTGTACGCTATATTTGTTGTCTTTGCCCCTTTTGTTGTGTATTTAGATTCCTCCCTGCTGCTGCAAGCCTGCCCCCAGCTGCTAGTCGTGCAGCAGCAGCAGCAGCAGCAGTTGCTGCTGCTGCTGTTGCTGTTGAGGCGTCCGTGCAAGCAGCCACAAGAGCTACAGATGGGTACATGAAGTCGGATGTCAAGGTCTTCCAGCTGCTGCTGCTGCTGTTGCTGCTGTTGCTGCTGCTGTTGCTGTTGCTGCCGTTCCTGCTGCTGCAGCGTACGTCGCCGCTGCAGGAACAGCAGCAGCAGAAGCAGCAAACAATGTCTTAGCAGCACACTTGTTGCTGTTGCGGCAGTAAGGCAAACAAACAGTGTCTGTTATAGAAGCAGCAGAGAGGCTGAGGCAACAATGACGGCAGCAGCAGCAGCGACTGCAGCAGCAACAGCAGCAGCAGCAGCTGCTGCTGCTGCTGGTGGCGTCAGTGCGGAGCAGCAGGAGCAGCAGCAGCAGCAACTAGATGCTGCACAAACAGCAAATGCGCAGTTATTAAGACAGCAAATAATTGCTGCTATTTACTAAATAAATATTTTTATATTAACTTCCTTCCTTAAACCCTAAACCCTAAACCCTAAACCCTAATCTGCCGTGCCCGAGCCAGCGGTCCACAGCAGCAACAGCAGCTGAGCCGCTGCTGTTGCTGCTGTTGCTGCTGCTGCTGCGGATCGCATCGGGTGTTGCTGTGGTGGTGCTGCAACAGAGGCAGTAAGCAATAAAAAAACATAAAAAGTATATATTTATATTAATAATTATATTTATTTCTTTTTTATATTAAATAATAAAGAAAAAACAACACAATTCAGGTGTACAGGCATCTCGTGCTAGCAGCAGCAGCCCTCCCTGCTGCCCCCCTCCCTCCTTCCTTCCCCTGATAAAGACTGCGTTCCCTGTAGCAGCAGCGGCAACAGCAGCAGCAGCAACAGCAGCAGCAACAGCAACTCTTTGTGTGCTCCTTTTTTATACCTCTTTTTGCTTCTTTATTGTTATCTTCTATAACATTAATGATCATTATTACCTCTTTTTTATTTATTATTTCCTTAATAAGACAAGACAAGACAATAAGAGGAAGAAGAAGACACACAATACTGTGGGGTCTAAAACACATGTGTGGGGTGTCTGTACACCACAGATGCAGGCGTGTCGTTTACCACTGCACCAGCAGTTGCTGCTGCAGCAGCAGCACGGCAAGGCTGCTGCCGCAGCAGCAGACGCCCTAGCAGCTGTTACTTGCTTTTGTCGCTTAGCAGCAGGAGGAAGGGCAGCAAGGGAGCAACCCATTGGGTCTCTCTGCTGAGGAGACAGCTGCAGCAAAGGGAGACACAGCAGCAGCTAGCCAGAGAGACACATATGCATGCAGCCCCACACAAGATGCACTCTTTCTAGCACGAAGAGAGAGACAGAAGCAGCTAACTAGCTAAGTAGATACAGCTGCATGCAGCAGCAACAAAGACACATTTTTTTGTTAACCGTTTGTTCTTATAGTACAACTTCTTGCCTTGTGTTATCCATCTACGTGATCTGCTGCTCTGTTGTCTAACAACTTCCCCCTGTCTGTATATTTATTTATTTCCCTCCTTCTCCTTACTACCTCAACTATCTATTAAGCAATTCCTTACGTGGCTGCAGCATTAACAAGAGGTACATTCAATAGATCTTCTG